GGGGCCTGGCTGTGGCGGGCTGGTCCCCCACATCAGAGCTGGTCACAGACACCCCTTTTCAGGACTGCCAACCTCTGACAGGTTGAGCCAAGTCTGCGGCCATGGGGACCAGCGCACGAGAGCTGCTGCTGCCAGGAGCCAGTGGGAGCCCAGAGTCTTCCTGAGAGACCCCCTCAGACCTCCAGCAAGCTGGGGGCCCGCCCGCACCCGTAGAGGCAGCCAGGCTCCGCGAGAGCAGGGCTCCTCGGCGGCGCACTGGGCGCGAGGGCGCTCCCCCCAGACCTGCGCAGACGGGCGGGCACATGTGGGCGGAGGGCCCTCGCAGTGGCTACCAGGAGCCACAGGCCGGCGAGCCCGGGGCACCCGTGGACCTGGCTGCGAGCAGCTGGCTGTGAGGCCGCAGCAGAGAAGCCCCGCGCAGGCCAGCGGGACGGCGCCCAGGCCGGTGCGCTGCCCGCCACGCCAGGGCGGCACTTCAAAGGTAGCTGTGTTGGCGCTGGGCAGGCTCAGAGGCTTCCTGTTGCGAGCGAAGGGGGTAGCACCATGAGGGGCCCGCTCAGTCTCGGGGCGCGCGGGGGACACAGGCCGGCAGGGCCGGGGCTAGGCCTCGGCGGCAGGGGCGCTGCGGCTCAGCTCCTTGATGCCGCACAGGATGCGCTTCATGTGGCCCACCTTGGTCACCCCGAGGTCCTGCAAGGAGAGGACAGGCACCCTGATGATGGGACGAGCACCCCCAAGGGCCTTCTGGAAGGTTCTGAGCACCAATGAGAGCAACAAGGATGACGACAGTGACGCGACAACGTAAGTAACCGCCGCATGGCAGCCTGGCGTGGCCCGGGACGCCTGGCCCCCGACGGACGTGCCACGAGAAGCGACATGCACCTGCCCCCACACCTCTCCCTGGGCCTGGGGGTGTCGGCGCGAGGCCTGGAATAGTGGCCGCCATCTGGTCGCCACGACGCTCAACCCAGCGTGGTCCGAGAGAGGAAGGCGCCGGCCAGGTCAGGCAGCATTGGTGACGCGAGGACACTGGGCCGGGCGCCGCAGGCGGCCACCGCGCCGAAGCCTGGAAAGCCTCGAGACAGGCTGGTTCCCCCCAGCCCGGTGCCCAGCTCTCCCCGGGAGGGTGCGGCGGCCGCTTGGGGCTGCGGCGGGGTCTTAGGGTAACGCTACTCCAGGGGCCCCCGCGCGCGCACGTGCAGAGCGATGAGAGGCGACTCCGGGGCGGGGCGAACAGGTTTATTTATACACAGAACAAAGTATTTACAGCCAGAGGGTCTGTACAGCAGGCGGGCGCGTGCTCCTGGGCGCGCTGTATAAATTAGGGTCATAAATAAGGGGCTGAGCCGCCCAGGGGCACGAAGCCGCTCCACGCCACG